TTTTCTTTAGTCTCTTTAAAACTGATCCTACCCCCATTAGCTTTGAATTAATTTTTAAGAAACTTGTTTCTCCTTTTTTTTGGCGCTCATAATGTCCTTCTCAAAGGTGTTATCTTCAACTCTTTACGGGGCTCACTGAACTGAATGCATTGATAACCACACCTGAGAGCTGCTTCCTGTGGGGTAGCATTTTTCTGGTGTTGTGACTCTTTGCTTTCAAGCAGGGACCTAGGTGAATTTTTATTCTTCCTGATACCATTGTAAACAGCCAGCTTTTGTTTCTCTTACTGGGCCTTGTCTTGTCCTGTTGCTATATTGCTCTTTGAAGTCAAATATATTATCCCTGTGCCATCTTAAACTTAGAGTACACTGTTAACTGATACCCATGCTGGACAATTTAAGTGCACGAACTTATTCTAGGCCTTAAAGAAAGGAGGAAGAAAGACCCTTCTGAGTTCAGAGACCAGAGGATGGGTGCCTGTTGGTTACTGCACGCTGCTCCGGCCTCTCTCTTTCTGTGCGCTCGGTGCAGCACACTAGCAGGTCACAGATGATACAGTGCACTTGCCTCTGAAACTTGAGGTTAGAGTGCAAAAGTTGCCTGTGATACTGTAACAGATCACGAAACAGTAGCATGGTGCAAACGGGGTATCTAATGACTGGGTGGTAGTGACTTCTGAACAAAGCTAAAACCTACTTACATAACATACATTACACTTACTCGTATGCAGGCATTCGAGAAACCTGAATGCATTGATTAAAAAGAAAACACACACCCACACCTGCCAGATACAGGGGTCATCTCTACCACTTTCACTTTGCAGCTATACCTTGGCTGAAGTTTGAGAACTTTTGCAGGGTGGGGGGTGGCAAGGAGATCTCAGGTAGTGTAGCAGTTGTCTCAGCTATATGACTAAGCGAAAACTTTTGATAAATTTCTCTAAATTTAATGAAGTATTTGAACTGAAGCTAATCTTTTTTTGGAAGAAGGGGGGAAGGACGAGTTCTTCTGTGAACTGAACTACTGATTTAATGTTAGAAACATACCCCCAGTAGAGAAGTCCTGCCATGGAGTCAGGGTTAAATCACTAATAAACCTGGAACAACTTTAGAAACGTATTTGATGAGGAACCTTTCTTATAGTGGAGGAAAAAAGGACTTCTTGTTCCTAATACCCCCTTTATTAAATTAAATGAACATATCCCTGTAATAAACATTCTGGTAATCTAATTAACCTACAGAACTCATAAGTCAATACAGAACAGCACCAATTCCATTTCATGCATCTCTAAAGGTACAAACAAAGGCTTGCCTTTAGAGTCCAGGAGATTTGGGACTCTCTCTTGCTGTTACAGGTGCATTTGACACTGCAAAGACATCCGACTGCTGCTGCTTTTGCTCTGTGACTGTATAGTTACAACTGCATAACTATACACGAGAAAATATTGTGTAACATTATAGTACTGAGGCATACTTTCATGGCTTTTGTGTGTGTTTTTTTTTTTTTTTAGTGCCTGGGTAGTGGGAAGAGGTAGGGAATTGCATAAGGTACTTGTGTGTGCGTGTCTGTAGGTGTTCAAGATTCTGTTGATGCAGAATAGTAACTTCCATCGATGCGTGTGACCATCTACTTCCTTCAGAGATCTAAGCAGGATTTTTCTATTCTCAAGGTGCAGCAAATTGAAAATAAGATCTGTTATTATGTTATGGTTGAAGTGATGTCTAAGATGAAGTATGGATATTAACATGACGGGTTATTGAACACGTGGTAGGTGGGATGAATCATCTTTCTGCTTTAAATGTATACATCTGAGCTAATCACCCTGGATTCTCTTTACCCTGGGAGAGAAATAGCTTATTTTATGGCATGTTTTGTTCGGTTGGTACAGCTCCTTTAAAATTAAATAAGAAATACCTTTGTAAATGCATGTTTGTATCCATTATCTGTAAAAGAAACATAAAGGATTAATTGGGATGTCATCATACAAGTCTTCCAATAAAATTGTACTCCATGTGCCCTTCTGAACATGGAAGCTCTTAGTTGTGATTTTGAAGTAGGAATATCTGTTAATTAAAACAAGAAGTCCCAAACCAACCAGACAAAAAGGCAAACTGCAAACATTTGTGATCATAGAGAGAAAGTAGTAAGGGCATTTCATAAATGTCCACCCCCTTCCCCCAAGAGCTAAAGAGATGGTGATTTAAATTTGGAGTTGTCCCCAAATCTAATATTTGGGTTAGTTGGAGTGGAAAAGACTTCCATGGGTAGCACCCCTGAAATAAACTAGCCTGGCTGCATTTAAAAACAAATAAATAAAACCCTCCCCTTTCCTACCTGGGCTGGGAAGTTGTTTCAAAGCCTCGGTACTGTGATGGTTAGAAGCATTTTGTAATTTTCAGAATAAATTTATTCTGAGAAGTTAATGCCTATTTGCGTTGGAATTAAGAAGTTAATTGCTTACTTGCATGTTGCTTTTTTGGTAACAGAAGATCCTTTTCTCTCCTTGGTATTGACTTTGGCATATTTCAGAAACAGTATTGTTCACTTCCAGCCTTTGTTTTGCCAAGACAAATAAGCCAGTCTTGCTGTCTGCTCAGTGTTAAGTGATGTGGGGCAACGTAGACCTTACTGTTTCTGCACCTGCTTTACTCCGTGTGAATGTTTGAACATGGGTAGGTAGAATTTTCCCCCTCCCTCTTTCTGTCGTGTTCTGGAATCGATTAGATTTAGTTTCCTGGGAACCTGGAAAGTGGGTGACCGCTGAGGAGGACGCATAAGGAACCTGTCAGATACTACTACTCTTGAGGCTGAAATGAGGAAGGATGTAGCTGCGGTGGTTATGTAAACAAAAGGAGGACCAGAATACACCAGGAGTGTTGACAGTAAAAGCTGAGTTTAAAGTGTCTGTTAAAAATAGAAACGTGTTTACAGCTTTCTTGTTTTTTTTTTTAGGGTGAATGTTCCTGTAGCAGGAAAGATCTGTTTATTTGGATAACAGTATGGTGGCAGGTTCTCGTCACTAGAAAGGCTGACTAGCTGCTTTAAATATTAGTGTATACATCTGTTTGCAATGTTGCACGTTTTTCATCCCGTTTAAGTGTTTAATGTTTCTGTAAATCAAACACGTATGCAGGCAGCCTCGTGTTGCTGAATAGCCTGCTAATGATAGGACATGAAATGGCAGGGAGAGGGATGAAACAACCTCCAGGAGACATTTAAAAAAAGAAAGAAAGAAACAAACAAACACTGAAAGAAATTCTGTCTCGCTGATCTGAATTCACTGTGTACCACGTGGAAGGTGCAACTGGGAGCATAGGCCGCTTCTGGAAATCTGCAAAGCGTTCCTTTTTTCGTGGTAGTGTTGTCTTTCATTATAGTAATTTGAATTAATAACTTCTAATAATCTCCCTTAGAACGTGTACTGTTTGTAATTTAAAGGAAGACTTGTGATTTAAACACAACTCGGTACTTACTCAGGTACTTCACTGAGACCCTCTTTGGTTCTTTGAACTGAGCCATAGGGAACAGTAAAATGTGCAGTTCCTTAAGTGTTGCATCATACAGTGTCTTTTTGTTTTTAGTGTTTCTCATTAACATTTTTTCTTTTTGTGTTTTAGTGGTGTGTGTTATGGTAATTTGCTCTAATTCTGTATGCTCTTCCCATGGGAATTTTAATTCTGATGTGCTTTATGTAATACAGAAGAGAAAATACGGTAATAAAAAATTTACAACAGTTGAACAAATGGCGGTTCTTTATAGTGAGATATGTTTTCACGTGTGCAGGTTTCCACGGGCAGGCTTTGAATTGCATGACCTTGTTGGGGTGTGTTCGTTCCCCTCTCCTTCCCCCGTCGTCCTGCAGGCGACCCCTCTGAGGGGGCTCCGCTGCCTCCTGCCGTCCCCGCTGCCCGCACCGCAGCAGCCGTGCGGCTCCCTCTGGGTGTACCGTTAGCTTGAGCTGAAGCCCTACCTTTCATGCATCCTTTAAGCAGGAATAAGCTAACGCTGTAGCAAAAGGTAACGCAGCTCCCCCATTCCCCACTCAAAAAAGGAAAAAAAAATCCAAGATTTCTTGGGCTGATTCTCTGCCTTTTTGGCAAGACAGAAGGGCAGGGTGAGCGTGGCTAGGGAAGGGTGCGATGCAGGGTGATTTTTTTGTTTGTTTTTTTTTTTTTCCCTCCCCCTGCAGGATACTGGCTTTGCCTATTTTGCACAGGCCTGCTTACAGCCCTAGCTTTGGCTTGCGTCTTCTGCTGGCTGGAGCCTGGGAGAGAGAGGTAGAGCAGAGGGCTTTAGGTGAGCCTCTCTGCAGTCATCCTGCTGTAACGTACTTCCACCTGCCCAGCGCACTGAATGAATGGTTAAGGACTGGTTGGTGGGTTTTTTTTTTTTTTTAACCCTCAGTGAGCTTTATTTGATTCTAGAGCAGTTTCTTGTCTCTCCAGCAACTGTAATCGTGATGTGAATGCTAAAGATTATTGCGGCTTTTGTTCTCTATCAAAAAGGCAGATAGGAAACGTCCAGAGAACGAAGTGGTGTTTTCTAGCTTCTGGTGCTATGACAGCGGGGTGAACGCCCGAATCTCCCTGGGTGGTGCTACTTAACATAAGTGACCAAATCATAGAAATTAAGTCATGTTTTGCCTTATGAAACTCTTTCTGAAATTATATTGAGAAATTCTAAATTGACAGATTTGGTGTGTTGTAGAATAGCTCTTACATACCGAACCTGCGCGTGTGTGTGTCTGTTGGGAGGGAGCGGTGTGCTGCTCACGAGGTCTGCAGCCCAGAGGAAGTAAAGGGGAAAAATTGTGGACTTTTCTTTTTTGTGTTTGTTTTGTTCTATTTTTTTTCAGCATAACTGTTCCTCATTTGAGGCAAACATATGGCTAAAAGTAGAAGCTTTCTAGTGGGGATGTATGTGGAATAACTTTTGGTTGTTTTAATCGAAAATGTCCTTTCTATTCCTAGTAGGTTGATTTGCATGGGTAATGTGTGTGTTTTGCAAGGGACCGTGATACAGACAGCGTATGACAGACAGCTGTTTACTCTCTCAAGAAGCAGGAGGCATAGGCCTCTTTAAGTGATTCCAGCCATTGAAAGTGACTTTTCTCTTTTCTTTTTCTCTTTTTTTTCTTTTTCTCCTCCCCTGCCCCCCCAGGATATATTGTGTAGCAGGATGGAAGAACTCTAATTGAAGACGAGACAGAGACAAGTTCTTTCAGCATGGAGACTGTTTTGGTTGATGGGGAACTTGATAGAAATTCAGTGAGTAAATGAAATATGGCTTTACGTATTCAAGTGAAGGTAAAGGTACTTGTGCAGGGGAAGGGTTAAACACCTTGAATTGGTTCTGGTTTTCTTTCAATTGACTTTTTTTTGGGAAATGCATTTAGAACATTATGTGGCATAACTTGCTGGATTCTGATGTCAAGGCGGCTGGATGTCAAGAAACTTGTTTATTGGATTTTATACTTGGTGTGTCTGAGTCCCAAGTGAGGAAGGTATTCCTGTCAGTCTTGCTAATCAGCACTTTACTAATTACTAGCTATGTAAAATTAAGAAAAGGCAAGACGAGTGATAATTACTTAGTCTCAGGATCACTTCAAGTGTAACAATAATCTGTGCAGTTTATAAACTTAATGAAAATATCACCACTTCATTTTTTTTCCTAAATTATGCTTAAAAAGAAAAAAAGGGCCAATGGGTACTTCATTATCATTTTAATGTTGAAGTTAATTAAGAACTTAGTTTTTCTGTAAGTTGTGTTACGTGGAAACACTCTCATAACTGAAGTGGAAAATGATTTTTTTTCTTTGCAAAGCTACTTTCTTATACAAGCACTGCCTCAAAAGCCCAAAATAGGGTGGGTTTTTTTTTTTCTGTAATTGAAGTGAAGCTCAGGTTTAACGCTTTATTAGTGACAAACTATTTCTGATAGTTAACTACTGCATAAAGCTATACACTTGATAAGATAAAGACAATAATTAGGCACTTGTAGTGATAAATTTGGAGACAAGCTGCGTTGCAGTGTACTAAGAAAATTCTTGGCTTTTTTGGTAATAAAGTTCATTGATTTGCTACAGCACAAATGTGTCTATTTGCCCCATGCGAAATACTAGGAGTCTACTGTGTAAAAATATACTTTATTTTAAAACTTCACTTGCTGTGCTCATTATTTTCTAAATAAAAAAATGTTACCAGTTTACAGGGAACTTAACGGTAACTTGAAATTTGCTATTTTTGTCTTTTTTTTTTTTTGACATGCCTTCATAATAACATGATTTTAAGAGGAAATCTTGAAAGGAGGGTCTATCCATTATTGAGTCTATTTCAGAAGAATACAAAGTGTGAGGATAGATTTGCCTTTCATCGAATGTGCATAGGCGTCTGGGGTATCTTCTCAGAATGAATTCTTTTATATGTTGATCTAGTGTGACTGGCTACTCTTGAGTACTTCTTATCGGTAGTATATCATTTAGTTTGGGTAGTTGTGCATGTTAATTGCAGATATAATGTAGAGTTGTGTTACACTACAGCTGGTAAACATTCAAAAATATTTTATCTAGAATATCTAATTTACTTGATCCACAGTAGATAATACTGAAACTGAAATATTCAAAAAATAAGCATATCTAATTTGAAGAGAGATTGGGTCTAATAATTTTGAAAATCCTGAGTGCGTGCAAATCCTGACACTTTCCAGAGTTAAATTTTTTGGAAGGATTGTGTTTGTATTCACATGGAGATCAGGATCGATTTAGCCAACATTTTTTATTTGAAGACACTGGATTTGCTGTTTACACATTAGAGCTGGAACATAAAGAATAACTTCTGGATGTCAGTGCCTGAACCTTTAGTACAACAATCTGTGTGTTTAATTATTTTTTTTTAAATTTTGTTTCTTTTGCTGTAATTCTGTAGATTGTGATTTATGTTCTTGAACTGTTGCAAAGAAACCTTGACTCTTATTCACAATCACAACAACTGCATTTCCTGAAAGTGGAAGCATCATTCTTCTTCAAAGCAGATGTGGATTATCTCAATACCCTAAATAGTTATATTTAGTGGTTGATTTAGTACCTGTTTTCTCTTTCTTTCCCTTCCCCCCTGAAGCTTAGGTATATTCTTGTTTCCTTCACTTCGGTATCTGTGGGTGGTCTATAGCTTAGGTTACACAGGGGGTCTACTGCAAGACTAATGTTTAATGACAGATTTCCAGAGTTCAGTCCAGTACCTTGCTATTAAAATTGTCCTTTCTCCTTTTACTGTTTTCTTTTGTTTCATTCTGCTAAAGCTTTGAATCGCTAGTGCAATTACTTTGCAATTGGATTGGATAAATCATATTCTGATACTTTGTGACATCTCTTAATTTTTAAAAGCATATTTTAGGCACTTGAATTTTATGTTGTTTACAACAACATACGTTTACTCCTTTACCATGGCATCAAAAAAATCAAGAGTTCTGAGCTGCTTTTCTGATTAGTTCTGTGCTATTACTTTCAAAGCAGATAAAGGGTGAAGTTAGATATATCTCAATATGTACTTAATTTTACTTAATGGCAGTAATTCTGAAATGAAGAATGAAACAGCCTGGCCTGACTTACCTGTTTTGGTTTGCAGCAACTTTCTGGTGCTTCAGCTTTCTTGGTGGTGATCGGACCTGTGAGAGTGTAAGCAAGCAGGTGATGGCTTTTCCATGGTGTTTTACAGAAAGGCTGTGAACATGGGTGGAGCACAGGGCAGATGGGAAACACAGGAGAGTTAAATATCCTAAATTGATTAGCTGCTCCTCTGTTCTTGCTTTGGGCAGAGAAATCATTTTTATTTAGACGTGCATCTTAAAACTCCTTTCCTAACTGTCTTCAGTAAGACAGGAAGGAACAGGTTTGAAAGAGCCGACAAACCTCTGTCTCTGACTTTGGGGTCTGGGAGTTATTTGTGGCTTTTTTTGTTTTTTTTCCTCCTCCCAACAGTCTTGTCACAATAGAGCGATATTTTTTCACCTTATGGTGAGATTGCATGTCTTCTGTTGAGTTTAATTCTTTGTTGCTCAGATGTCAATGGGATCCTTGTAGATTGATGAATGGCACGCATTGAGTGAATGAAGGAGTGAGGATTAGAAGATGAGTTACTTGTATGTGGAAGAATCAGGCAGACAGGAGTAGATAGTGATGTTAGAAAGGCAACTGAAAAAGCAGCATTTGAGGTGGAGTTGGAGTAAAACTAAACTTTGTTAGCAGATGGGAAGAAAAAGGATGTTTCAGACCTACTGTGGTTCAAGAAAGACCATGATACTGCAAGTAAAGGTATTTAATAAGAAGAGTTAGAGGCCTGAAGATGCAAGAAGCAGATGGTAATAGCTTCAGAAGCAGGAGACAGGGCCATTAGTTTAAGGCTAGATGTGAACAGAAACCTATAGGAACATTGTAGGAAGGCATAGCAGAACGGAGACAGGTCGGTGTTAGTTAGGGTGTTTCAGGAGAAGTAAAAAGCTTGAGGAACAGTCTAAAAAGTTGAATGTAAATGAAGTGCAGAAAGATAAAATAGGAGAGGTTTAGAAAAGTGACATAACTTCAAATGTAACTGTGTAATTGAAAACACTGGCAAAGTACAGGCCAGTACATGTAGGCTATACATACTTTCGTTTGGGTATTGGCAGAGTTTTCATCTTCTAATACATAAATACCTAGGGTGTGTATGTCAGAGATTTAAGATAAAACAGATTGATTCATTTTTCAGAAACAACTATTCATTATTCTAGAAATAATAAGTCAGCAGAAAGCTGACTGTCTAAGAACATGAACAAGTAATTCAGGGTATGCGTTTTATGTGGGCAAATGATGAGGGTACATTTTCTACTTTATTATTAAAGTGCAGTGAAGTGAGTGTGTAGATACAATTCTTAGTTGTTTCAAAACTGCTACTAGAAGTCCAATAAGATAAAGTACTGTATATGCAAATGTCTACGGGTTTTTAGCACATCAGTAAATGAATAGGAATGCCTCTTTTTGCTTTCCCCTGATCCTCCCCTTGGACTATGTAGAAAACTGAAAGATTGAGTAGAACCAGCACAAACTCAGTTGAAAGTGAGCATCTTCTGTTGTGCTCTCCGTTGACACATTATACTTGAACTTATCCATAAGCACGTTAAATCAGCAGTCAATTCTTGTCCTGAAGCCTTTGTACAGGAAGAACTTGATTTGAAACAAAACTATTTGCTGCATTTCAAACTGCCTAATGTGCTACATCTGAAACGTAAAATATGTACTTTTGTGAAATACTTTACTACTAAGAAGTTAGATTTTTAAAATTAATCTCAGATCAAATTCATCCTTAGGTCTTATGAGATTGTTCAGCGTTTCAGATTTTTAGCTGCAATCATTTGATTTTTTTAAAGTTATTTTTGGCATCCTGATTAAAATTCATAAAATACATGAGTTGTGAACATGAACGGAAAAGATTGATCAACGTTTTTCTGCAAAGTTCAAGGGCTTTTCGTTAGTCAGGCACTGTTAAACCAGCATGAAGTACTGGAGATCTTGTTTCGAGTTCCTGTTTGGAAATAGTTTTAGCCTGTTTTTCTAAAATAAACAAACAAACTTCATTGGCCCAGGACTTGGAACGTGCCATGGAAACAGGTACTTTGGCTTGAATATTTGCTGAAAAACCTAATTGTTTTTTCTTTCCAAATGTTTTTTTAGAAAACTTTCTAGTAAGCTTTAGCTTTTACCAAAACATATATTTCATAAGTAAGTTGCTTTTGGAACAAACTTGTACAGTCAGACCTTGCTATTTAAATACATGAGAAGACATAAAAGTATACTTTTTTTCCCTAAAGCATAGAATGTGTGTCCTTCTTACTAGTCAGATTTACGGACAGATTTAGTGATCCAGAATTTAAAAGTGGTATGATTGATCTTAAACTCATTTAGACGTTTTAGAGACTACTTTCAGGAGGAGACTGCCTTTAGCAGGCTAAACACTCTGCCTTGGCTTTAAAATATGCATGCCTATGCACAGTCTGCTAACAATTTAACTATAGGTTTAGGTGGTAGATCTTGTATGCATTTTTAACAAATTTGTCTTTTGTACTATGATGTTCAGACGTGTTAGCAGAGACATATGTTTCTGCTTTTACCCTAGTCTCCAACAGAAAAAATGACTTTGTTTTATAGGACAAGTGGGCAGATGTAATTTTAGCTTTAATAGCGTTTATTATAAGCTGTGCCTCTGAGAAATCGGTGTCTAGAAATAGTACTTTTCTGAAGTAGAGAGCTGTCTTGTATGCAATCAGAATTATGGCTGCTGTCTCTAGTGATGGCCTGTTTTGCTGTTTTTAATCCTTACAGTCCTGCATGTCTAAGCATAACGAGGAGGAGTGCATATTTTAGTATATTTTGGTAGCAATATTTTAACTAAGTATGCCTCAGAAGGAACTGACTAGATAATATGTTGGGAACCTCCCTTGTCAGAGGTCTCATTCTATAATGGCAGTTCATCTTAAATTAAATAAATGTGAAAATAAGTGTAGGTTGCGTCTCTGGAAATAAATTAAGTATGTATTTCTCTTAATTTTGGAGACGATAGACAGTAATGCCCTGAAGACATTCTTTCCTTAGAAGACATTAGAGTAGTAAAAACTACTACTAGTGGTAAGGCATTTTGTTGCCTTAGGGATCTGAGTCCCTAATCTGCAGTGATGGGAATTGCAGGTGGTACAGGGTGTTAAAGGGTGTTGGAAAGTAGAGGTTTCTGTGGCTGAAATGATCTGGTTTCTTTCTCATGTCGTATTTAAAAATATATGCTCATATGCTCTGCTGCTTTGAGGAAGATGCACAGGATCATACTGAAGAGTGGAGGCTGATCAGCCAGGACTGCAGTTTGCCATGTAAACAGAGGGTTTGCTGGAGGTGGTGGGGACAGAGTTGGGCAGGCTTGTGTTTCAGCCTCTGGCACAGGAGCTGTTTATACCAGTTCACAAGATTAACCATGCAGTGCTGAAATATTTACACAGAAGTTGCTGCTTGGTCTCTGATGACCAGTTGCCCCACACTGGGGTGTTATGCTGTAACTTGGACAGGACGGCTCCAGAGGCAGGCAGTGAGACATGACCTGCTGCCGGGCTTTTCCCTCTGTGTCTTCAGTGTGTGAGTGTGGGCTGGTAGTGAACGTGCTGGCTGAGTAGCAGGAGCTTCTCATCCTGTATTTCTGCTAACAGTTTTGTTTCCCAGTTCTTTGCTCTGCTTTCCAACTTCTTGTGTGAAATAAAGCAGACCAGTGAGTGCTGGTGCTCAGTGCTCTGGCCGGTGGTTGGATCTCTGTGCTGTTCCTGCAGGCTCTTTCTCCTTGCTCTAGTTGGTCAGGATACTCTTGAATTTTAAAAGCAGCATAGGGCAATACAGCTCCAATTCAAATATATATGGCTTCCTTGTCTGCAGTATGTTAGCACTCTATATTCAAAGAGACTTTACCTTAAAGCATTGAATTCTCGAATGCATCCCATGGCCTGGTATCTAAACCTGTACGGTAAGTTCATGGGTTGCTTCAGTAATATTTCCCTCTTTCATCTAAAGTCTCTGTCAGGGGTAGAAGATTGTTCACCAAAAGTGCTTGGACATATTTTATAATTTATTCCAGTTTCTCCTGTTCACTCAAGTCCTTTTCAACCAAGTGCAAAATCGTGGGGGGGAAAAAAAAGGTTCTCATCTTTCCAATATTTTGTACTGTAATACTATAATTTTTATTACAATATTTTGTACTTGCACATTGCAATGACAGTTTAACACCAGCGCCCCCTCCTGGCAGTTGTGAGGGGTAAAAATCCACCTTTTGAGAGCAGGCTTGTGATTCGGCTATCCAGGAGATAAGAGACTCCTGCTTGCTAGGATTTTTCCATTTTCCTTCTTGTTTAGGCCTGATAACATAGGAGCAAAATGAGATTCTCTGTAAAGCAGAGCAAGGATTTCTCTCCTTTATGGAAATGGAGCAGAAGCTTTTTGTTTAGGATGTGGAAGATACAGTATATCTAGTTTTCTTATATTTTTTACAGAGGAAGCATATGTTCACGCTGATCAGTGTGCTTATTTCTCCTCTCTTTGTTATTCTTCTATCTCAAAGACAGAAAGCCCTTTGAGATGGGTAGGTGGATCTTACCTTACATCTGTGCACTGAGCACAGTCTTGATCCTGATTGTGGCTTTGAGTACTAATGATTCATAAAAGAGTCAATTCAAATGTCAAAAAAGGAGCAAAGACTATTACTATGTAATTATTCTCCTGTAGTGCTTACAGTTGGTGTGTTTCAATGGGAGATAAATATATATATATATTTTTTTATACAATTCAATTCTTTGGAGACATTTGGATTCAAAATGTCATTTTAATTTTAAAACTGCTTGTCTCACTTCCTAAGCAATTTAAAATGCTACCTGTGGTTGTAATTGAACTACATCTGTGGCTTCCAAGTTCATATTTGTGTGCAAAAGCAGTTATGCTTGGCTATGGCATTAGTCAGTATTTGCATGTTAATGATCACTTAAGAATTTTTGTGTTTCCAAAACACTTGTTTAAAAGTGGAACAGTTTCAGAAATAAATTTTCTATTATTCTTTCTTTAAAGCTTTAGTCTTCTGAAAATGTTCCAGCTAAAAATTTCTTAAAGTACGCTGTATATCAAGTTAAATTGGCATAAAATTGCTGACTGAGAAGTTCCACTCAGGATTAGCAGTTGAGGCATTTGCTGTGTACTAACCATATATGATGATGGCTTCTAATAATGGCTTCTTTATAAGCATATTTGTCAGTTTTGTTGCTTCAACTTTGATTTCTCAAATGCTGAGTCTCTGAGGTCTTGCCTTCAGTATTGAGGTGCATGTTCCATTTTAGTTATGAACTAACACTGTTTTCATTGTCCTTCTTCTTTCCCGCTGCTGCTGCTTTTGTGCACTTGCTTCTTCCTGGCCTGGATTTTTTTGTTTGCTGTTCTTCGTTCTTCAATTGTATGTGTGCACAGCATCATGGTGATATCAGAGACTCTCATGGACCATCAAGTAAGTGACTCCCCTTTCCTACAGTATGTTTGGACATATGTTCGTAATAGCTAACGTGTATCTTTTCAGGTAGGCCAACTGGGCTAAGTATTAGGGTTTCTTCTGTGTTCTAATTGAGAAGCTGAAGTATCATGAAAATTAATTGTTGGAGAAGTATTTTACCAAGCAAACTATTCATTAGCATCTAAAAATTTCTTTCAGGTTTACTTTTTTTTTTTTTTTAAAGTGGGAAATGTTTATTTCTTGACTCTTCCAGTCATGGTCATAAATATTTTAAATTGTTCCTTTGCAATATGATATGGATATATTTATCAGTCTGAAATGGAACATTTTGCCTTTTACTATGTTGTTTTGAGTGCCTAGGATGATGAGTCTGTAATCTGAGCTGGAACATTCAAATGTTACTGTAGTAATAAAATAGTAGTAATAAATAATAGTAATAGTGTCATAATAAATAATAAAGACCTGGGAAATAATGATTCAGAAGCATTTTTAAGCGAGTCTGTTTATAGTGCTGTGTGATTCACTCAATTTCAATAAATTTACATAGTCAGAACTGTACAGGTGCATATACTCTAATACCCAAATAAGGATAGTCTCTGGTGCGATGATGGGGAAAACTTCTTTGTATGTACATGCATGAAATCAAAGATCCCTTCGTGTTATTGTATCTTGTGCTGTAGTATGGTCATATGACTGCTGGAATAGCTTAACCTCAGATTGAGAGGAGTTTGTGTATGTGGGGAAGGGGAAAGGGCAGACACAAATTCATTCTTGGTCTGTGCAGAAGCTGTAGTCTTTAGCAGTCCTTGTGGGTTGTCTGCTTATCCTACATGCGCTTGTTGGAGGTTTAATTTTCTAAAGGGCACTTTTCAGTGAGGCATGCTCTTAATGTTAACAATTGTAAAGAAAAAGCTGGTTAACACAGTCTTAACTACCCTTCCAGGTTTCTCACTAGAATTCTTTCCATTGTCATACTAACATGATCTTTTTTCAGATTAATACAGGCATCTCGTTTCTGTGACAGTAGACATAGAGGACAAACTTGTCTCAGCTATTTTTAATGCTATTTTGCAAATATGCCTCCAGCCTGCTGTTGGCCTCTTCTGTGAGTTGGTGGTGCAGTTAATGGCATCTCCAGATTCACTTTTTGCTTGTGAGCCCTAGATAGGAGGTACAAGAAGTCTGCACAGACTTTGATTGCAAGAAAAGTTCACAACCTTTTACAGTAGACAACTATGCAACACACACATTCAATCTGAAAAACTGGTATTTACTAGCGTGCACCCACACGTGCCCACAAACATGCACACACAGTTCCTGAAATCTCTTTTTTTCTCAAGTCCTGAAGTTGTTTTTCAAGGTTTTTTGATGAAAGCTAAAGCTTAAAAAGTACCACGCAGGCTACTGGGAGATGTCTGGAAACAGAGCTTTTAAAAGCTAACTGGAAGTTGGTGGGGGAGGGGGGAGTAAATAGTACTCTGAATTTACCAACTTCTAGTTTTCCTGCTTTTTATCAAGTAAAGCTGATCCTGCTGATTTATAGACATTCAAAAATAATACAGAATTGAATTATAATGAACCTATTCCTAATTCTGATGTCCTTGCACTGTTTTCAAGAGCACAGGCGCTTTGACTTTCTTATTATGCGTATAAAAGCATTGGGAATTTGCCATTTCAGTTTTTTTTTTCCATAGCTTCCTCTGATGACATAAATTGACTGTGAAGATTCCAGTTTGTGTTCCTTCTGATGCATGAATCTTACTGGCAAACTATAAATTAGCAGTTTGATGGCCCAAAATGAGGGAATTGGAAAACGTATTTATTACCAACTCTCATAGTTCTATTGGTATTAAAATGTGCCCTACAAAGATTCACAGAGAGGCTTTGATGTTGTAATACTATATGTTCCCTCTCCAAAACAACCTGCTGCTCGTTTTCAGAGAGATGGATGGTAGGAGTTTATACCCATTCAGATAAAGGAAAGGATGAGCTGAGGTCTTCTGCATCTTGAGTGAGTGCTCCAAAGTCCAAGCCGAAGGTTTAAAATACAGCACCATTTTGTTTGAGACATTTGAAAGAAAGGAATGGTTGACAGTGCTATCGTAGGTCTTTTTTCTTTTTTTTTTGGATACAATGAGTGTATGTCTCCCAGATCCATCTCTTAGGTTGCAAAGATGGCAGGTGAAGCCTGGGAAGAATTAGGTGTGAGAAGTTCCAAGGAAATTGAAAAATATACGATATGTACGTCACAAAGTTCTACTGATCTGATCAAGCAGCTGAGAACTGACTCACTATGAAGTGTGAGTGCTTTGAAGACTAGTCAGAAACTGAGTAATATTTTTGAGGCTTACAGCTTTTGATTTGTGTGGCAAGATCTCACTGCGAGTACCTGTGGACACCTGAGTCCAAAACTGTACGTTTCAGTTTGGTATTGGGCACATGAGAAGTAAAATGTGTTTGACTAAGATCCTCATTTAGTCATTGATGCTAACTCTTATTTCACAAGTAAGCAAGGCCAGAAGAGTAAATGACCATTGCTTACTTTCAGTATCACTTTTGGCTTTTTTCTGTTGAATATACTGAAATTCAGGGGTAAAATTATTCCTTGTTAATGAGTTTGAAAGTAGCTATGGGACCATGAAACATTATCAGTAAGTGGATGATTTGAGTATGTACTGTAAATTTATAGAGCGTTCATAAAATCAGCAGCCAAAGAGCTTCTCCAAATTGTTGTATTATCTATTAATGTGTAATAATTAAACCTGCTGTCCGGAAAACATCATCTTCCAAGTGGTGGCTTTTTGATTTAATGGCATCTTGAAAACTCAGGTTTATTGCGATTCCCCCCTTCCACCTACTTATTCCTTTCTCATTGAAATTGCTTTCTTTGTTTCTGGCCGTCAGCCTTTTGAGATTCCAGAGCTCCTCCCCTCAGATGCTTAAGGCATATCTGTACAGAGAGGTCCAAGCGCTGAATGACCTGCTGATTTGCAGTTGTGATTACACGAGCACATATGAAAATCAGGTCATTAGCTTTTTTGCAGAAAGAAGATAAGAGTTCATTACTAATGTTGCTCGCTGCCCCCTGCTCAAAGTAACAGAGGTATGATGCGTCTTTCCTTGTCTCCCCCCTCACCCCAGAGCAGGTGTCTCTGAGCATCAGGATGAGACATTTTGAAGTGCGGGGGGGGAGACTCCTTCCTAGTGGCTGCTGCAGTACAGATAGACATGTATGTTCTTAACTGATTTATTTCCATTTCTTTAGCACTCCTATAATGCTGCCTTAAAAGAAAATTCTAAAACTTTCCTGTTAATCATCTTTAAGGTTTGCAGGTTAATTTTCTTGAAAAGCCCACTTGATTGAAGAAGTTCATCTTAAACCCCCAAGCATGCAAAGTGCTTACCACAAGATATTCTGTATTAGGTGGTATGTAAACTGTGTTTTGTAAGAAAGGAGTCTTTTTAAACTAAAGGAGCATGAAATTAATAGCGACCTTGAAGATTTTAACCATATGGGTGTTGGTAAGTTACCAATCACTGAGTTTGGTTTCCGTTTTTGTGCAAGCTAAGTGCGCAGAGCTTGCTTACACCCTAAACTGTGAGCACTGAGAACTGCTTGCCTTTCTAAAGCTGAAGAAAACCCCTAGTAACTTCCAAAGTATAAACGTGGAAAAAGTGTTAGCAACTCTACAGGCTCAGAGAGCCTTCTGCAAAGGTCACTTGAAAATGTGTGGTTAATGACCTTAACGATTGATAATCTTACCATGCTGCGGAGTGGATGTTGGGGGTGGGGGGGTGCGCGGTGGGAGCAGGTGGGGTCCTCCCCCCACCTCAGCTGGCCTTCCCAAAGCCGTTTTCAGCAAGCTGACTGAAAGTGGATGCTGTTTTGGCTCGTCTTACCTCTGGTCAGGAAGAAGTGAGCATTGCCTTTACCAGGGTCCACTTTGGGCCAGTCTGTGAAGCAGCTGTCTGTGGTGCCCGTTTAGCTTTGGTTTCCAACACCTGACCCTTTCTGGGGCAGGCCATCCCCAGACTTAAGCAACATGCCCTCTTTCCCCTTGCTTGTAGCTGCAGGAAACTTAACAATCAGTTTGGTGCCGCAAAGAGAGAGAGCAAAGACAGTTGCTACTTGGAAGTAGCCTTCTAGCACTGACAGCTTTGAAGTCTGAAAAATACTTTATTTGAATATTATTTTTGCCTGGACTAGTAAAATGAGCTCTTTGCCTTGCTTCTCTGTCTCCTCATTTAGCTTTCCTGAGCAGCCCTCTGCTGCTCGGGGTGTAGTTTGTCTGGAGCAGAGCTTTAGACAATTTATCTGATGGGGAAAAAACGGTGCAGTTGGGTATCTCGTTCTCCTCACCTTCCTCATGCTGCCTCCTGTTTATTTCAGGCTTTCCTGGAAAAAAATCTGTTTCAGTTACTGTAAAAGTAGTAGTAATAAAACTAAGAAGTGAGTATCTGTATTTTGAAAGATTTTGTCTAGAAAATCAAACATTTTTTTGGACCAGATCTTCTGTGGAAAACTAATTGGGAAAAGTGTGGGATACCTTACAGCAAGAGCAATAATGTCATAAGTTACAATCTTTTAGTCAGGTTATTATTTAGTAGTCATCTCGTGTTTACCCCTCTGATGTCTTTTTGTCAATGAATCTGTTTCCACAGGAGACACATGCGTTAGTGAGTCAGTCATTGTTCCATTATTCAAAAATCGCTTACTGTTGCGTGCCATCTAAGGAAATGTACAGGCACCATAGGCAGGATGGCTGCTTGGATAGTCTTACAAATAGCTGTGGGAGGTCAAACAATTCTTCTTCGGACTAGTAAGGTTCATGAAGGGTAACTTCTGCTTTAAACTTTTCCCTTGACGAGAGTCTCTCTGTGCTCTTTATTAGCAGGACACACATTGCTTTTGACATATGTGTATATGCATTCATTGTAGCTTTCTGGGATTGGGGGTAGCATGGCTGGATCTGGCAAGCTGTCTCCTGGGAAGGCTGATCTTGTAGCCGGTGAAACCAAGAACTGTCACAGAATGAAGAAAGCAGGATTTCAGAAGTTACACCACAGCTGAGTGCTCTCTCTGCATTCAGTAGCAGCTTGTAGTTTTCCTTCTGTGCTAGTCCTTGTCTCCATTTTCTGCCTCGAGTCTTAGAACAGTCTTAGGGCTCCTTTCTCCCTTCTCTTCCCAAGCAAGTCTCTGACTAGAAATCTTTATTTTTAAAAAAGAAGAATTTCACAAGACGGCATTTGAATACCAGTTTCATAAATAGCTGTGAAATTGTCAATAGGAATACATGCACAAGCAAATAGTATTATTGAGTGAGCATCCATTTTGTATTTCAGCAGTGATAACAAACAGTGATGAATCACACCTTTTAACCCCAGGAAAGATGAGCCAACGCCAAGGGAAAGAAGCCTATTTTACTCCAACCAAAGAGCAACTCCAGCCATCTCTCAGCCCAGGAACCACCCACAGCCATGGTAAGAAAGAGTTATTTTTTACAGAGGATTTGAGGAACTTTGATGCTGACATTAACTGCCTATTGCATATGTTGATTCAAAAACAGTGTTTCGCAATAGAGATTTAAGAAAGAAAGTGCATTAAAATATTGCCTGTAATTCTTTGTATCCTTATGCTCTAATCAGAAGCAGAAAAAATGTAATACAAGGTACGCTAGTTTAATTAAGGATGGCATGACTTGTGGGAAAACAGTCCACATGATGGTGAATGACATGCATGTATAATGCTGTAACTGATGATCACGTTAATGTCTCGGGTATTTTGAATTGTGTCTTTATGCAAAAGTGTTATGACACACCACCTAAGCCTGGAAGTAAAGATCATTTAACAATCGCTTCTATTGGAAGATTCTTCTCTTTTGGAAAGAAAGAAAAAGTGTCATCACTGCTCTTTGCCAGTCTTCAAACAGTCCTCTGCCTTGTTACACTTACCAGAAACAAACTTAGGGAATTAATGTGAACTGACTGGATCCAAAATGAACTTGAGCAACAGAAGTGAAACTTGTTAGTGGACCTGACATGTCAATAGCATTATAAAAAAAAAAAAAAGAAAAAGAAAAAGAAGAGAGGAGAGGGGGAAGCCATAGTTACTTTCCCTGAAATTCTGTACTTGTTTGCAGTTGAAAGTGCCTGTAGTATCTTATTGCCTAGGGCATCATTATAAATATTTCTGTCATGGCATATGCAGTCCTTAACAAAAAAGGAAGACAAAAAGGTTTCGTTAATACTCTCTCTCCTTTTACTGTTGGCAGCCATGCTAGTCATTGTGCACTTCCTTAAGTTCTTGAGATGAGTAGTGTTCCTGTGATTTTTTTTTGTGTGTGCAAGCCTCCCTAAACTGCAGCCTGCCTCGCCAAAGAAATGATGGCAGTCAGTCATAGTAATAATGGCAGTCTCACAGGTGTCTCTGAATTATTTTGCTGTCTTCCCATTCACTGTAGTTCAAATAGAAAAAAAATTTTGGAGCCAAAGACTGTTGTAACGTATGTTGAATTTGGTAGTCTTTTAGCATATCTTAAGGATTTTTATGGTAGTATTTTCTGTGCTACCTATGGCTAGTTCTGAGATGTTTTCTAAAAGCTGCTGTTATCTCACTGGAACAGCAGCATCAAGTTCTCTGGCTTGTTTTGTGCTTAGTGTGGAAATAATGTCTGTAGAATTTACATATGTAACTTGTTTCGAATGTTTATTACATCATTCAAAGAATTGTTGGTAAATCTCTCTGAATACTGCACTGTAACCTCTACTTATACTACATCATTTATTAGGTGTGTTCAAATACTTTAGTAAATGCTTCCTTTCAGTGTTGCTATTTCCACTAATTTATAGATATAATCAAACTTGTGTTTTTTAAGGGCTTTTATTCATATGAAAAACATAAAACAGGTTTGAAAAGCATTAGTAGTCTTGATTGTGCTATGTCAGTCTCCTTGCAGATACGAAGTCTTCTCTCCCAGTTTTTTCCCCTGATTATTTCAGGGCTTATGTAAATGATTGGAAGCAGGTTAAATGTATCTGTACTCTGTTTAGCATCAGTCATCACTATGTCTTTGTCTTCCAGCAGGGCTACTAGAAATGAGGCTCTGGTTGCATGGTGCAAGGAATTTGGCTTGCAGTGAATTTCAGTAGTGAAAAGGTACAAAATGGGCTAGGCTTCAGCAACCTTTCATTACTGACTTCTAGCCTATCTGCAACTTGGGAGGTGTAGGTTGGATTTTTATGGAGGTGACTGACTCACATTTAAAAGTTGTGTGGTTGTTCTGTGGTGGTTATTCTGCAGTGGTTATTCATGCAGAGGAATTAGAGTACTGATGAAAACATGAGCTAATTATGTAGGGGAAAGCTATGCAAGCCTGAAAAATAGGAAGCAGAACAGATGTAGCTGCACGATTTGAAGGGATGGGGTACTTGAGTGTGACTGTTGTAACTATGGACATCCTTCTCATGAAGAGAACCGGCAAAGGTATTTACAAAGTGCCTGCAGTGTGATATAAAGAGAATACACAGAAATGTATGAAATGTTAAGATATAGCATTTTAAAGCTATTTCTGTGAACTAAACAGAGATGGTTTTAGTTACTGGCACGTGAGTACACCCTTTGGTGATGGTAGCATAAGTAAACAATTAAAAAGCATGTTAGGCACAGGATAAAGGAGAACCAGAACAGAGAAATGTATCATGCAGTCTGCAAGGAACTGATTAATTGTAAGGGGGAGCAAGCTTGGTTTGTGTCTTCTGCTTGTGTTTTGAGAAAGATTCTAATGCCTAATATGACAAACATGATTAAGAGTAAATGAGAACTTGAGTCTTAACATGTGGGAGTGGAGGTAAACATTTAAAAATAGCTTTATGCCCTTGGCTCCCTGTTTGGAAGAAAGGGTGAACTGTATAACGAGTGTGACTGTGAAGTTGTAAGTGAGATGTGCTTAATGATTTTAAGGGTTTCTGTGTATAACTGTTGGGTTTTAGTTTCAGTGAAACGTAGCTCTGTGGATTTCAAAAAACTTCTGTTTCCCTGTGCTTGGTTCCTTAGTTTAAAACAGCTAACTTCTTCCTTCCTCATTGCTTTCATTCATGTTTATAGTGAGCAGCTAGCTTAACCTAGGAACCTGGGGTTTTTTGTTTTGTTTTGAAAGGCTTATATTTGAAATATAGTTAAGCTGATGTGCTAGATAATGAAATGTTGTGTGCTAATCTGATTTATGATATATGTAGTAGGGAACCGAAACAGTTCTGCTTTAAAAATTTGTACCTTTAAAAAGTATGGTTAAGTGCAGTGCTCGAAAATGCCTCCAAGGGTTTTCTCTTCATTTTAAGAAAACATTGCAAAGTGTCAGTTTTGACTTAGCAATGTTCAGACGATTTAAGCGCTCATCCCTTCAGGAAGAGTGAAGGAGAAGGTATTGTAACTTTCTCTGTAAAGATTTCTTGCTTTAGCTATGACTTTTGCATCCATTATTTTAGAATGGAATTTAATATGTTATCTAAGCTAAAGATATCTGTCTTCTTTTTGGAATCCGATACACGTAAGTTTTAATAATGCCGAGTACAGCTTAATTTTGTAGCATTGTCTAGTGATTGTTCAGCAGAAGTGTATTTATGCTATCCTTGTTTTGTACAAGTTTGCATGAAGAAATTACACTGTCTAAATTTATGTAGTAGTTTTAAGGTCCTTGAGAGCATGCTGTGCTTTATTCGGAGGCCGAAGACTAGCTTATCTTCCAGGCTGCAGGACTGGCCTTTAAAGGTGTAGAGAACGTTTTGAGACTCACTTCCGTGGAAACCTTCAACTAGGTTATTTGACAGAAATTTCTGCTTTAGAAAAGCTGGCTGTGGGGATTGTTATGCTTGGATGATCTCACCAGTTTACATAGGAACTTTAGAGTTAGTGTTGAAAGGTTAACTCAGCAGTATATAGCATTGGTTCTGAGATGGATTTATAATCCTAATTATTGTGGATTTAATGCATTTTTGAATTTCCCATGTGTTAGTTAACTGTTGTTTCAGAATAAGCCAGTCCTGACCATAGCAGGTGTTACACAATGTGTTCCATAGAACAAATGTATTGGGGCTGCAAATATCAGTGCTTTAAGTTAGAGACTAGCAAAATCCAAGTGCCATACAGTGCAAGCATTGAGACACTCAGATGTGATGAAGTTTGAGAGATATCAAAACAAAAAAGCTTGAATTTTGCATCCACAGGATGCAGGAAAGGATTTATAGACACAACGTTGGTTTAACTACACAATCTTTTACATTTTTGTATGGTACTATCACTTCCAGCCAGCCAGCCATACAAATTTTCGTGGAGGCTCTAAGCTCAACTTTACAAAGGAAAGTATTCTGGTTGTGGCTCTTCTCAGCATCATAACTCTATAACAGGAGCCCAGGGTACCTCCACATTGAGTTGATCTTGAGAACATTTTCGAGTTTTGCTCACTTTACATTGTATACATTCAGGACTGCATGTTTCTAGTCTCTTTCCTTCAACAGCATGTTCAGAGAGCGGGAAAGATTTCACGAGAATGTTCAAGATGGTCAAGCTTTCTCAAGGAAATCTTTTTTTCATGTATAGTCATTAATTGTAGCTTATGAGTTCTTTGTTTTTAATTGTCCATGCATAACATGTCAAATCAGCATCCTGTCTCTAAGTTGTCGGTGCTGTATATTAAATATGAACGTTACCTCCAGTATGCCTTGTCTTCAGGTCGTTCTTGTGTTTTTTCAGTTTCCTGCTAGGCAATGAAATGTCCCTAATTCTGTGTGCCTTGAACATGCTAAATGGTCATGCAGCTTTTTTAGTAAATATTTTGTTTAGAATTGACAAATCTGGTATTGGACCTAGAAAATTAAATGGTCTTTTTGATGGAGACTTCAATAGGATTTAGGAGCTAGCTTTTGCTGTAAAGCTTTGTTTGCTTTTATGGGACGGCTTGGTTTTAGATTCTGTGTGAGCTAGCATGGTCTTGCTGACTTGCCAAGACAAAATTTTGGTAAATGTAGTGTATCTAGATTTTAGGACTCCTAAAACAACCTTCAGTTCTAGCAGTGTTTAATTTAACATTGATCAGTTTATTTATCCATCTAGCTCATTTTTTGTTTGTGTTCTTTAACTGAAAATGTTTCTGACTTTTAATAAGCTTTTAATAAACTACTAAACTTTTGATGAAGCTAATTTGTCTTTTTTCTTTTTTTTTTTTTTTTTTTACTTTTTTTACTTTTTAACAACCTACCATAAGTGCAACACAAAGGAACCAGTGACAAAACTATTTTATTACAGTTAAAAATAAACGTGGCAAATATTGAATCTAAGACTGCATTTTACAAGGTGTATGCAGAACTCTCTGTGTTAGTGTAAGCTGTTTATGTTGTTATGCAAATTATCCTTGGTAAATTGGATTCTTGTAAATCTTGTTAACTCAGACTTGCATCAGCATACCACTTTATTTCTGTTTGATAAC